CGTCTACAAAACAACTTCTGAGAGAACGTCGCTGTCTAATTTTTTTTAAAAACGCGCTTTTCCTTACTCTTTGTGCTTTTCCCAGAAAGTGTTTTTAGTAGGCCTAGGTAATTATGCAAAACCCAGGCCTAACTAAAAAATTAAAATTGTCATAGTATGTAACTCAAGTTAAAATAACACTTTTCATTACTCCTGCAGCTTAATCAAATATTATACGTCATTTTAAACGACCCATTGGTATTAACATGGTAACATCAATGTATTTTTAAAAATTAGACAGCGGCGTTCTCTCAGAAGTTGTTCTGTAGACGTTTGTTGATGACCTTTTGACCTCCTGAATTCTGCAATGAGATTTTCGGATCGATTCAGCCGAGACGGCCCGAGTGGAGTTTCATGTAAATGTTTCGTACGGAAAAAAAATCGCGCTTCGGCCACCGTAAGCCTCTCAGAGAATTGGTCCATTAAAGTATGTCTAACAAGTTGCTCGCAACTCGACATTATCTTTGGCCTGTGAAACAAAATCTAAAAACCTTTAAATAAATTAATTAAGAACCAAGAGCCTAGATGCTTTTTGGAAAAATCATTTAATTTTTTTAATTTCTTATTTTAGAAATGTAAATCATTTCAATTCATTTCATTTATTTGTAATAATGAAAAATAAAAGGGCAAGACGTTAGAATATAGGCCTACGGATGGGGAATTTTAATGTTGGTGACGAGAGACCAATTAAAAAGACAAAAGAAAAAAGTTTGTCACTCTTCTTTTTTATTTAGACACCAAGCGCATGGACAGAAGCGGCATTCTAGCAGGAACGCATTGTTCTTGATGTTGACGCATAAATTCTTGTGATGACACAATGTTGACAGTCGAAACACATGTTCACGAGTCAACAACACATGTGAATGTTGGCTAGGATTATCGGCCCTGGAGGACGGATGTAGGCTGTGGACAGTGAAAATCGAAGCTTCGAAATGCCTCGGTACGAATTATCTCTGATAATGAGAGCCTTAGAAAGGGTGCGTGAAAGTTAATTTTTTTTTCAACATTATACTAAGCAACGATGCATTTGAATTAACCGTTATAGTCCTAGCTTCTAGTAGTAGTAGGACTACAGTATTGGCTCGCTTAACTTGGACTAGCCTAGGCTAGGCCTACACGCCCATAGTATTTGTTCTGCCTAGGACTTGGCTAGGCCTAGTAGTAGTAGTAGCCTATCCTATCTATAGCCCAGCCATATCTACTAACTCTAAGCCTGAGCCTCCTAGCCAGACAACCCTAGTTTGCCAGACTGTGAAAGTGTAAAGTAAGTAAGTCCTGCCACCCCAAGGAATGTATCCGTGCAAAAATTAGGCTTACTTAAGCCCCTATCGCACTGGTCTTAATTTGGTCAAATTAACTGAGTCACTGGCTAAATTGACCAAAAAAAATCCAATCTGAATGCTCGGTTACAATTCCCTCAGGGTTAAATTAACCAAGCCGAATGGTTAATTTTACCGACCTCAGCCTGCCCAGTAAAACTTACCACGGTCTCGGTTAAACTAACCACGCTGGTCAAGAAGTCCAATCCGAACGTGCAACACGGTTAAAACTTCTTCCATGTTGACACCGCTCGAACAAAACCGGAAGTTGAAGTCACAAACTAGGTCCCTCAATAATATTTTTTATACACAAGGTTAAATCTTGGTAAAACTATGGTAAAACTAACCGTGTGAATAATCCAAGTGCGAACAATGGTGAAATGTACCCATGACTTTGGTTAAAGTTACCCTGGTTAAATTTACCATTTTTTAAATCCAATGCGAACAAGGCTTTAGCGTTAGAAATCTATCTGCATATTTCGGAAAATAAGGGCCGATTTCAGTGCAGATTTTGCTGAAAATTAGGCTAAAACTAAGGGCTTTGACCCAATTTTAATCATTTAACCAATGTACTACTGTATTTTTTTCTTACTTAATTTATGTTTTGATACTGAATAAATTTTATCAATCAGTTAAATCAATCAGTCAATTTTCTTTTCCTATGATCAATTTGGATGCAGAGTTGTCGATCCATGGAATAGTCTTCCAAATGAGGTTGCTAATGCCTCTAATTTGAATCATTTCAAATCATTATTAAATGCTCATTCGAAGGACACAACATTTATATTCGTTTTTACATATCTTTAATTTAACATTATTTAATCATGACATGACCATTAATATGTACATGTTCATTTGCTGGATTCCCTAACCGTCATGTGTGTCAAGCGAATTTGTCAACACGTATGATGGGTCTACTATCTTCAAACAAGTAATACGCACTTCTCCAAACTTCTATGGAAATCTGCCTAGCAATACACATACGTAATGCTTTCATCAAGCAAGCTCATCTCGTCCTTGCCTAGCTCTTCTCATGTGCTTCTCCGATTCAGACATAGGCTAGAACCCCATTCCGCAACCTTTTTAGCCCACGACCCAAATTATATGTCAAGCACTCAAACCGAAACCAAATTCCTCACCTGAATTTCATGGTGAAATGATTAAATACAGTATTATTTTTTTTAGTTTGAGTGAATTATGTCAATAAATCACGTCCGTCGTTTTATATGCGCGAGGGATATCAGAAGAACCCACTTGATTGTTTTGGCAATCGGTTAAAAGATAGGCCTAGTCCAAGGATCACCCACACAATTAAGTTTTGTCGTTATAATTTTCAGCTGAAAGCCAAACACACTGAAAGGAACAAAATATTACACTTTCAAGCTGTCATACCTGAAGTACAAATGTTTTGATAGTACTGTATATTATTTAACACAATATAAATGGAATAGGTGCTATATAAATACTAAAATAACAAATGAAACTAAGATAACAAATGCATTACAAACGTAAACTGCACTTTCATCAACTGTAGTTTGATTTCGTTTGTCCTTGTTCGTATTAAGTAGCGTTTTCAATTGACAAGTGCGATATCTCAAGGAAAAGCCCATCTTTATACCCCATTCTTTAGTTTGCATAAGTAGCCATGAAAAGAAATCCATCTCGAAAAGAAGCCATAAGTTTCTTTCCAAGATAGCAGGGGCTTCTTTTTGAGATAGTACAGTACATATACCAGTGACTGCAAATCAGAAAAGGCCTCCCTAATAATGGATTCCATTCCTGCATTCAGTTTGTACCTTTTGAGAGTATATACAGTAATTATTAATTGAATATGTTTTCCATATCATATTTAAAGTTCTCCATAAAAAGTCCAGTTGATTTTTTGCAATGACACATCAAAGTTGGCCCCTGCCAAAAACATCACTTTTTGTGGTTTGGGGGCACATTTGAGTAGAAATATCTCTTTAGTGATCAACCAGATGTTGTCATCGTCATTGTATGGGTAGTCAAGTGGTTTAAATAAAATTAAATGTTTTAAGAAAGCTCAATTAAACAGATCTCCTGAATGTGGTTTCTTCCAGTTTGGAACCTCGGATACCTTACGGTATTTTATTTCTTTTCTGTTAATAAATTTGAAACTTGTATTCTTTCACGGTTTATTCTGTTTACAGCCCTCTCTGGTTGAGGCGATGAAAAGAGTAGTCACAGAATTAATCAACCAAGGTGCTATTGTTCGTAGTATGGAGAGCCTCGGTGAGCGACAGCTTCCATATATAATGACAGCTCATGCACAGAGGTTTTATAATGGACAGTAAGTAAACATTATCACAGTACATGCTTGTTATAGCACCCTCTATAGCTCAGGTTCCATTAAATTCATATATAGTAGTCCAACCCTACTAAGCAAATTATATATAATAATAGTTATCTTTACATTAAAAACAGCCTCAACGAGCTATAAAACAATGATTTATCTAGCATTGAATTATTACTTTTTGTTATTTTATATATGTTTCATATGTCTCGGTATAATGTTAAAAAATAATACATATATGATAATGATTATATGGGCATGGTGATACCATATTACACCCAAATATGGGCATATTGCATTTATTGGTCACATAAAATTAGATGGTGTGAACAGAGCATTAAAGCTCTGTCCTTATATGGGCATGGTGTAATATATTACACCCAAATATGGGCATATCACATTTATTTGTCACATAAATTGTGATTGTATGAACAGAGCCTTATACAATAGCACATGCTACATTATCAATGTGCTTCATATTATTAACTAGCCTTGGTTCCAGGCCTTAAATTTGTTTACTTGCTTTTTATTGCACTTAGTGGGCATCATATCAAATTTAGTTGGCGTCCCGTACTTGATTTAATTAACTTACTCGTTAGTGGCTGTCACTTATGCGAACACGGGCAAACAATTGTTGCGTTTGACTAGTAGAGACTGTTCTGTAAAAAGTCAGTGAAGAAGATATATCCCAAAATATATTTATTCATCTATTACAAAACCACTGAATCTCAATATGTAATTCTTTATATAATTACAGTGATCTCTGACCACATGTCAGTACTAACTAACATTTAAATTCATACTCATTATGATTAAATGTTTATAATTACATGAACTAATCAATATTAACTATATATTCATATAGGCCTAGCATACATCAGTAACTTTCATTAATAGTTAAATTCAACATATCAATATATCATACAAATGATATATTATAGTTAAATTTAAGATTAATGTAGAATGGACAATGAACATGCAAAATAAATAAATTTAACATATCAATATATCATACAAATGGTCTATTATAGATAAATTTAATATGAAGAACAAACTGTGTCATTCATTCACTAATAACACAAGTTATCTTAGAAATCTGTATATCATGCCAACTATTTCATTCATGAAATTATTGAGTATCTCACGGAAATCATTTCATTCATAACAAGTTATATAAATATATGAATATCACGCAAACTATTTCAGAAATTAATTAGTATCTCATGCAAATCATTTCATTCATAACATAAGTTATGGAAATATGAATATCATGCAAACTATTTCATTCATGAAATTAATTAGTATCTCATGCAAATCATTACGTTCATAACCAGTTATAAAAATATGAATATCATGCAAACAATTTCAGTAATGAAATCAATTAGTATCTCATGCAAATCATTTCCTATAATAAACAATGCTCCAAAAATATTACACGTAACAGTCAACAAAAGTTAAATGTTACTTCAATCATCCAGATGTCATTTCTGCTCAATGTTCCGTGTTGTACAGTTCACTTTAGTATGATTTCAATCAACCAATACTGACTCCGTCAGCGGCAATTTTGAACGGATCAAATACTCGGGGATACTGTACAACAAGACAGACCATCGCTTGCGTGCTTTTCCCAACAAGACAGTCCATCGCTTGTATCAAATGGAAACAGCAATATTGTACTTCAATCACAATTCCTAACAGTTCCAAATTAACCGGCCTAGGCTTATACAGGCATTCACTTCATAGGAATACAACCTGCGCCCTGCGACAAGTACTTCACTCTCCCCGTACAGTGTACCACAAAACAAAGAAAGAATAGGTGTGTCGTAATTCCTCATGAAAATCTATTTTATACGAACGAAAGTTGCACCTGTATGTTTTGCATATCATTGACTATCAAGCATTTACCATTAATGAATAGAGTGTTATTACTACATGCTTGAATGATTAAACGTTATTTGGTTAAAAAATACATAAGATTCAATTCTAATGTGACAGTGGCGTTGTCCAGAATGGGGGAAAAAATATATAGTTAAGCGACTTGTAACAAGTCTAATTATTACCCAGTTTAATTGGATCAAACATATATGGAATCTATACTTAACTTCCTCTGAGAATACATAATAGATAATGTAGCAGCTGTGCATTGACATCCAAACCCACAAGGTACCCACTGATAATCCTGGGTAGAGAGACATCTTAGATTAAAGTCCCTTTATATTCAAATATAAATCTGGCGTAAAGCTAAAGTCCTCCAAACACTACACTCTGCAGAACTACTGTAGGAAGTCATTTGTTTTTACTGTAATAGTATACACATGTTCATGTTCATTTTATCTACCAAGAATAACAAATTTCTAAATCTAGGCTGGTTGCCTCCCTGGACATTTGCATAATACCAGGGGAAAATGTCAGGGGTGAAATGTCTAGGGTGCAACTAGGTTGCTCCCCAAATTTCTGTATACCATTAAAGGTACTTGAATCCTCTTGAATATTCTTGCAAAGAATACAAATAGCAAGTCCAATATTCAAACCCCTGATTGTACTTAAAAGAAGCCTAGACTCACTATTTTACAGTACCTCTTTGCAATATATATTGCTTTTTTCCAAACAAACGTCACAAACTATATTTGTACAGTGTAAAAATTCATGATAATAGACTCTGTGTCTAAAGACGATCGTTATATTATAATTAGGGCACCAATCTCTTGTAAAGAAATTTTTTTTAATGAATACTGTTCTCTGTCTAATTAAAGACCACTTTTTGACCCCGGTTTCCATGGTCTCGCACTCGCCAATAATGATGATTTCAAATAAAAATAAAACTTTATTTTTGGCCAATCAGTGCACCCGCTTTTAATGGAAATTTAAGAAATAAAAGTTTTTCTTTATTTTTGCCTTCTGCTTTGAAATCTTCAAAAATAATGTATGTATACTACTTCATAATTATATAAATTTATAATATTTAACCATCCCATTACTAGTAACTACATTGTTTACATTCACCAATAAAATTATATTTTTATTTGCTAAATAAAAAAACAAAATTTAATTTTAATTTTTTTTCCGCCCGTTCGTGAAAAAAAGTATAAAAAAAAGTCCCCCTATAGCTTCTTTGGTCTTTAATTAGAATAATAATGGAAAATGTTAATTTGGGAC